GTCCAATATGCTAGCCATGAGCCCCATGTGGCTATTTGTCCAGTTGAGTGTGGCTAATTCGATATAGTGCAGAACTGGTGGAACTCCACAGGTCTAAACTATCCTGAATGTACATTTTATGTGTAGGTGCAGGCTTGGTTTTAAACTCTTTTTTTGAGCTAAGCCACTAGCTGTCAAGAGGCCTCAGAACGTTAGGGACATTTTGCACCCAGTTGGTTTAATGCTGCAGCTCTACTTGTTTTTCAATTCAATTATACTTTCATCATACTGCTGAAAGTGCAGAGCATGCTTTTAGATCAGTGGGTAATTGTGTCACATCTTGTCCTTATGTAGGACACCTCTGCTTGAGATCTGAGAGAATTTACTTCTAATTGAAGAATGAAACATAGGACTGGATTGTGCCTTTAATTTCTGGTGGTGCATGGGGTTCAGATCTTGCAGATCAATTTTGAGAGATACAGCAGAGGGGGAGGTAGAAGTCTGCAGAATCACCGTGTCTTTGGGGCAGGGACAGTGTTTAATTTGTCCCAGGATTTTCCAAGTTCATTGCCAGTTCATTGTCACAGGTCCTTGGGGATTGCAGCATCAGTTATGAAACTAAAACAGTTGTTTGAGGCTTTACACCTAATGGATAGAGCCTTCGTGCCTCTTTCATTGCAAATTAAGGGGGCAGGAACTATCTTTTTGTTTGTTTGTTTGATGTTTATACAAAACCTACTTCAGATCCATGACTGGGGCTCCTAAGTACTTCTACAATAAAAATAATAATTATCTCTCTTAGGATCTTGTGGAAGCTACAGCACTGGAGCTACATGGATTGTGGGAATATGAAGGTGTAGAGCAAGTGGCAAGCTTTCCACTGTACTAGCTTTCACTATATCTTTGGATTTCCAAGTCTGATAAGGAGTTAAATCTGTCTGAAGCACCTTGACTAGATAGCTGGTGCGTTCTGACCATTGCTTATTACTCTCGTGATAATCCTCTCAGTTATCTTGTGCTTGTTTTTCTGTTTGTTATATTTTTAATTTGCTTAAATTGCAAGCTTGTTGGAGTAGGGACTACCTGAATTATGGTGTGTACAGCAAGTAGCACAATGGAACCCCAGTTCTTTAATAGGCCCTCCAGGTGCTAATATAGTACAAATAATTAATAACAATAATTCCTGTTGAATGTGCTGCCAGTAGGAGGCAGAGGGGAGTCAGCCTGCATGTCTTTGCATTTCTAGGTTTTTTCCACCTAGTGGATCACCAGGATCTACAAATCTGGGAGATTGCCTCCTATGAAAATCCATTTCTTTAGCACTTCTCTCATATGATAGGGAAGTTTTTTGATACTTCTAACACTGGTCTTCCCACAATATTCTCTGTGGGAGGGGATGATGTGACTCATAAACTGATCTGTTGTTGTTGGATTTTTTAAGTGGTGCACTTATGCCAGGAACATATTTTCCTTTGTTTACTTTTATATTTTTGATCATTGTCTTTTTGAATCACAATATAATATTCTTTCTCCATTTAAAATGCACAGGAAACTAAAGATGTACTGATGGCAGCCTTCAGAGTGACAGACCGGTTGTATTTTTACAAAACAGAAATATTATGTCAATGCGCTTTTTAAGGAGCCCCGTTGTGAGTGTGAAAAAAGGGGCTAAAATAAGATTTTCCACTGTGATATCTCTTTTAAGAAGTTCTTCTTTGAGTAATACTTTATGGCAAAGTTGCTTCTATTTAAAGTATGGAGTTTGATCTTGGCTTTGATCTGAAGCTTTTGATCTTGAAAGAAGGATGTTGTGGCAATAAAGCAAAAAGGGTAGGGCAGACTTTTTTTGTAAAGAAAAGTGATAAAGTTAAAGGGATACCGTTAAGATTTAGTAGGCACTAATTTGTCCTGCCTTACTTTACTTACATCTGTTTGCAGAATCCATCTAATTCTATATGTGGGAGGGTTTGCTAAAATAAATGCTTTGATGCTCCTTTTTCTTTTCAGAAAGCACAGATTTCTATTTCAAGCTTTTGAGCAATTACTTTATATACCACTAAGTAAAAATAATTTGTAAAAGATGAAAGTACATTTCCAAGATCTCTTTAATTGTACCAAATGTGATTAATTTACAGGTTCATCTTTAGTGAATGTTTCATTTAACACTGAAAATTATGAAAACATAAACAAAATCCCAACTTGTGAATTTTCAGTGTTCAACTTTTCTCTGGTTCAGGTTGCTTGATTTTTGCCTTTAAGTCCAATGTAAATTCTGAGTAAAGATACCCCAGCAAAGCATTTAAACATCCATTCTTGCATTCATCCTTATTTAGCAAAGCACCTAAATGTGTGATTAAATTACATATTTAAATGTATCCATCTGCTTGCGATCTTTGCTGAGGTAGAAATGATATGCTGAATTGGGACATAAATGAGGAGTTTGCTGTGCTGCGACTAATACTGTGAGAGGCTGGTAAGCAAAAAGGGAGCTCAGATCTTGCTTAAAAAATGAACGTCAGTTTCCAAGGGGCATCTGATGATATTTTGAATTCATTTGTGATCAAAGAATACTATTGGAAAAGTATCTTAAATACAGAAAAGAGTCTTAATCTGTTTCTTGAGATAAAGTCATTAGAAAGTTTCTTTATCTATGAGAACACAGAACTTTAATATTTGACTCAGAAAATATATTTATAAAATGTTGAAATTATGGCATATGGTGGGAAGATGAGAAGAAAATATCTGAAAATCGTCTTCTGGAATAGGATAGAAAGCTGCCCAAATTGAAGCACTGAGATTCCTCTGCCACCAAAAATAGTGACATAGTACAGCTCTGGGTTTGAATGTTTGAGGAAAATGAGTCTGTCTCTGTAATGGGCTCAACTAGAGCACTGATTCTCAATGCCAGCAGAATTCTGGGATGCTTTGGTTTCCAAGTTAGCCAGTTAGTCAGTTCAGGAAAAACTTAAAAACTAACAACAGAGGGATAGCCAAGTTAGTCAGTTCAGGAAAAACTTAAAAACTAACAACTAGTATGATAGCACTTTAAAGAGTAACAAAACACCTAGGGTATGTCTACACTACCCCGCTAGTTCGAACTAGCAGGGGTAATGTAGTCATCCGCAGTTGCAAATGAAGCCCGGGATTTGAATTTCCTTCATGCAAATGAAGCCCGGGAAATTCAAATCCCGGGCTTCATTTGCAACTGCGGATGACTACATTACTCCCGCTAGTTCAAACTAGCGGGGTAGTGTAGACATATCCCTAGATAGATCAGGATTCAGAAATTATGACTCAGCCCTTGGCTTTATAATGAGCTAAACCAGAGTACCCATTATGGACACCCCATATACCTTAAGGAAATTTGAATATTCACCCAAATGCATGTACCCAGCTCCGTCTCTTAATTACAAATGAGCCTGCATCCTGAAGTTTGGATCCGAAAGCCCCGGGGATTGCTTAGGACACTACAGTGAATGTAGCCGTCTATATATTTTATAGCCGGAAAGTTTCCGATAGGGGCAGAACAATAATGAAATTGGTGTGTCACGGTGCTGGACAAGCCGACTAGAGGGCTGTGTCTAGACTTGCAAGATTTTCCGCAAGATCAGCTGCTTTTGCGGAAAAACTTGCCAGCTGTCTACACTGGCCGCTTGAATTTCCGCAAGAACACTGACTTCCTACTGTAAGGCTGTATCTAGACTGCATCCCTTTTCCGTAAAAGTGATGCAAATTAGACATATCGCATTTGCAAATGAAGCGGGGATTTAAATCCCCCCTGCTTCATTAGCATAAAAATGGCTGCTAATAGCATTAAATAGCAAATAGCATTAAAATAAGGGATAAGGGATCTTTCGGAAAAGGCTTTATTTTCTGAAAGATCCACGTCTAGACTGGCGCTTTTTTCCGGCAAAGCTCTGAGCTGGAAAAAAGCGGCAGCCATTTTTATGCTAATGAAGCAGGGGGGGTTTAAATCCCCGCTTCATTTGCAATTGCGATATGTCTAATTTGCTTCCCTTTTACGGAAAAGGGATGCAGTCTAGATACAGCCTTACAGTAGGAAGTCAGTGTTCTTGCGGAAATTCAAGCGGCCAGTGTAGACAGCACAGTACAGTTTTGCCCAAAAAAGCCCCAATGGCTAAAATGGCAATCTGGGCTTTTTTGTGCAAAAGCGCATCTAGATTGGTATGGATGCTTTTCCGCAAACAGTGCTTTTGCGCAAAAGCATCCATGCCAATCTAGACGCTCTTTTCCGCAAATGCTTTTAACGGAAAAGTTTTCCATTAAAAGCATTTGTGGCAAATCATGCCAGTCTAGACGTAGCCGGGCAATGTGTTCTCTGTTTTTTTCCGCAAAGGAGGTGAATTGCAGCCAGGGCCATCCCCACAGATTGTGAGATCATCTCTCCCGACACCTGTACGTGATGGGCTAATTAACGGCGCACGCCAGTCGCTATACCTTTAAGGCAGGCTCCTCCTCTCAGTTTCAGCTCTCGGAGCTGGAGCGCAAGGGGAGGAGGGCAGGGGCAGTGCCCCCCCCCCGCCCTAGGTGTTTCATTTCCTAAGGCGCTCTCTAGTGCGGCTCTTCTGAAAGGCGCGGCAGCGCTAACTGCCCTCAGCCTGAGGATGCGCCGCAGAGGGGAACGCTACAAAACACCCGCGCACCACACCGAACCGGCTGGCCGGTGCTGCTCACCAAGCCAGCAGCAGCCAGCGCGGAATAGCAAATGCCGGCCGCGTGG